GCCCATCACAACTATAAGAGCAGCAGGATTTCCTGAAAATTACCCTGAACCCCAAACTCCTCAACTTGCATTTCCTCCTTTTTTTTCCTTTTTCTTTTCTGTCATCACAGTCAGATCCAGTTCATTTCAGAGCAGCTGGGTTTGAAGTGCCTTGCTCAAGGTCATGTTGACAGTTAATGCTGAGGGAGTCGACAGCATGTCTCCTTTACTTTATGCACTCAGATTTAGAAGCTTACCAGGGGATTTAAACTGATGGCTTTCCAGTTTCAAGTCTATAGTCAAGTCTGTTACTGTGAGTCAGCAAAACACTGTGAATGATTTATGAATAGGAAAGTTATAGATTAGTTAAATGTGCTGAACTGAGAAGTGCACTGTCATCACTGTTGCATCACTGCAAGACATCAATCTACAATAAAGGTGGAGAGAGGACAAATGGGATCAATAAGATAAGAAGGATGTTTTTGCTTGATTAGTGTCATCGGTTGTCATCAGATGGGTGAAAATTTTGACTCGAGATCATCTCAGTAATTACTTTGCTGTAGTGTGTTACACCAGATGGAGTCATGCGGTGTCAGTGAATACTGCATTTCTTCTAAATGAAAGAGAAATCCAGTAACAGTAAGATCTGAGTCTAGTTTATGTCGTTGCCTGATGGCAGATTTATTCCTGGACACTACACTGTTTCTGTTCTGCATTCTGCATTCACCCTCAAGCTGTAGCCCCCCTGTGTTTTCCAGATACCCACCTGTCTCTCAGTGACTTGACCACTTTGGGCCTGGTCTGCCAGCTTGTGGACATCTGTTTACTTCCTCCTCCATCAGTCGTCATGGTTGCAACCCCCCCACTATCACCACCACACACCCCCACCCTTGCCATCGGCCCTTCTCCGCCCTTCTCTCGTGTTTCCCCCAGACACCAGCTGTGAACCACTTATGCTTATCCTGCAGTCAACCTCGTTCAGCCTTGTGATAAGGACAGCAAGGACAGGAGTGCTTCTGGCCAGTGTGCTTTGCTCTAAGTTTGCTGACCCAGAAATATCTAAATAAGCACACTAAAATTCAATGTGACCATGTAGATGCATAAAAACAAATTAGGTATCAGAAATTGTACCTGTGGTTAAATAGTAAAGAGATAAATATAGTCTTGAATTCTTCCTTGTTATTTGTTTACTACACTGGTGACCAACTAGAATGACCTTCAGAACTTTCTAGTTGCCATCCATATATCCTTTTTTTATGGATGCCATTTCATCTTTTTTTTTTTATTGTGTTGGGAGGTTTTGATCTCCATTTCTCTCCGGGAAAAGCACTGATAAAATATGAGCAGACAACAAGAGAGAAGCTGTCAGATGTATTCAATGTGAAACACTTCCTCTTAACACTGGATTTAGTCATGTCACAGCAGCTTAAAACTCTTAAAACACTTAACACAACGCAGTGAAAAGGGAACCAAAGTGATTTGATTGTCAAAAAACAAATAACTGGATGGGATTTTCAATTCAATCTTCCCAATCAGCTAGTAAGTTGCATATTAGGAGTAAAGGGAGAACAGAATGGGCCCAGGTATTGAACCCTGAGGGACGCCACATGAGGTGATGGCTGAAGATGACACACTGAAATAAAAATAATTCAAGGCAGGAGTGGTTTCTCCCACCCACTGATTTAACTTGTGAATTATGAAGCTTCAACACTGGAATCAAGTGTAAGATTAAGACGATGGAGCAACCTTGTGAATCAGACTCTAAACAAAGAAATCAACTGGAATTTTTCCAACATAGTATAACTTTGGGGCCCATTTTTTACAAATAATATTCAAGTCAGATAGAAAAACAGACACTGATTTAATAGCCAAAAAATGGAATTATGTGACCAGATTTGGAAAGTCGCTGAGTACATGTTCACTTTTGGCATGTGGCTCTGTGTGACACAGCACCCAGCTGAGAGCCAAAACCCCTGCTTTCTCCCCATATGCCCACAACCGAATAAACCACCTCCTGCACTGCCGCTTTCTCCTCTGTCCCTTTTGTCAGACTGCAGGCAGTGGTCCACAGCCCTTGGGGAGCTCACTGAGGGAGGTGTGGCACAGCCAGTGATCAGAGTGAATTAGAGTTATGTGTGACATGCAAAGGAGAGGCTCCAGAATGTGACAACAGCTGAGTTTTAAAGTGAAGCTTTTTCTGCCTGAGGGGAGAGGAATAGACGACAAAGACACCGAAGTCTGCTGTGAGAAGAGTCAACTTCTTTTGTTGGCTCTTTAAAAAAAAAAACAGAGACCTGTTATTCATTTGTCTTTTCATTTAACACAGTGGGATACTTAACAGTGTGTTTTTTTGCATCAATTTGAACATGGCTGCCACAGTATAAAAAAGGCCTTCCTTATTTTCAGGCCTAATTAACATCCTGATGCCTTGAGCAGTTAAATTCCCACATGCAAACATGCACATAAATGTCTAATCGAGTCAGAATCTACATAAAAAGGCTGAAATCCGAATCTACAAAATTTGACTGTACTCTACAGTATGTTAAGCTGATTATGACTCGTTTTCTATCTACATCCAAAATCCAGTGCAAGTTAGATTGAAAGAATGCACTCAGTCGCCTTTTAAACTATAAAATGGAATAATATAATCCAAGATTTGATAACTCATGAGCAGAACAGGGTTTGAAAAACAGAACTTTGAGACATTTAGGCTCATAAAGAAGAAAATATGGTGTAGGAGCGCTCAGACTGATTTTTAGCGAACCTGGAGGTGTTAAAAATTTAGTGCTGTTCAGGCATTATTGGAAAAATGCCGTTCGTGGAACTCTATACGCTTGTTTTGTGGCCTACTTTTGAGCCCCAGAAGTCATCTCTGGTCCATAAATTTCAGAACAATGGTGCACATTTGTTATGTGAAGTTTGGCTCGATATTACATTTATTCCTGTTGGGAGTATTAAGTGACAACTCTAAAGCGCTGCAGCTCACCTTTCCCCTGTTTATGGTGTTAGCTATGAAGCCTCTACTAGGCCAACAGAGTTTTCAGTGATATTGATACGGCACCAACATAACTGGCACAAAGATTTAAAAATAAAATCATAGCAACTTTCATAGCCACAAGGGTTAAAACCGTTTACTTGCCAACTAATATCGTTGTGAAACAGAGTGGCTTTGCCCACTGTTCTTCCTTTGTGCAAAGAGAAACAGGATGAGCATTGCCAGATCTACAAAATGACCTCAAGCAGGCCGCTAGTGTGAATGTACTGACCAAACAATCAGAAACAGACTACATGAGGGTGGCCTGAGAGGCTGACTCTAGTGTTCCCTGTGCTCACAGCCCAGCAAGTTGGAGCCTGATGGGAATTCGCTATAGAATACCAGGGTGAACCTGAGCACATGTGACAGACGTGAAAGGGTCTAGAGAAGCTGTGGAGAACGCTATGTCGCCTGTAACATCATTCAGCATGACCGGTTTGGTGGAGGTCAATGATGGTCTGGGGATGCATATCCATAGAGGGATGCACATAACTCTACAGGCTAGGCATCAGCATCCTGACTGCAATTAAACATCAGGATGAAATTCTTGGACCTATTTTCAGACTTTACAATGGTGCAGTCAGTTCTGGGTTTCTCCTGGTCCATAAAAAGGCAGGGCCTCAAGTGGTGAGAGTATCCAGACAGTTTCTAGAGGAGGAAGGAAATGACACCACTGACTGGTTTCCATGCTCACCTGACCTAAATCCAATAGAACACCTCTGGGACGTTATGGTTAGTTTGCCAAGAGGTTGCACCTTAGAGCTCAGTGATGCCCTGATCCAGATCCATGAGGAGATCGATTAGGATACCATCCATTGTGAACTTAGGAGCAGGATGTTGCCAGGCATGCGTACATGACAATGTCAGGAAGGCCGTACAAACTCCCGAGTACCATTTTTGAGTTGTTGCAATGACATTTCTGCAATATGGACTAGCCTTCTGCTCTATGCAATGTCTTTGAAATCAGCCCTCTGTAGGTTGATAATTTTCATTTCCATCAAACCACGTGGCATCCTTTCATTCCTAACACATTAACAAGTACACATCACTACAGATATGCAGCATGATTTTTCCCACTGAGATCAGCTGCGGTTTCAAAGTGTTCCTTTAATTTTTATTTTTTTTAAAAAATTTTTTGTTGTCGAGCAGCATAGTTACTGCTTTCTGCAGCACGAGTTCCTCTTTGTTTGACAGCATGATTTCTGTGTAACATTGCATCGCACAAACTGCCTCATAAGCAAAATCAAACTTTTGTTCCATTAGGGTCAACGTACCCATTATCAGGTATTTTATTTTTCCTGTTACCACTAGAGCAAACACGCAACTGAAAAGTAGAATTCAAGTCAGAAAACAATCACCTTCCATTGAAGCTGTGGGAAATGTTCACAATGCACATGTTCTGCAAGAAAGCAAGTTGGCTGAATGCAAGCCGCCCTTTTGAACATGGGCAGTCTTGATGTTTAATCAACTTCTGGGATACTAATATACAGTTCACCGACAATGAAATCCTCCTTTAGGAGAAGACACACACACACACACACAAAAAGCCAAATACAATCACTGCGAGTTAGTCAAGCTTTTATCTGCTCCTGACAAAGAGCTCCACCAGACCAAAGGCATCAGACTGTGGTTTGTCTGAAAGGGACGCACTCGTGATGCCTTAGCTTCAGCTCTCACAGTTCACTCACAGAAAGCCACAATCTTCAAAATAAAACAAATAGCTGAAATTCTTACAGGAAAAAAATAAATAAAAAAGAATAAGTTTTCTTCTCCCATCTTAACAGAAAGATCTGCCTCACACATCACATGATAAAAGCCGCTTTCATCTTTCAACCATGACTTGTAAATAATCCCCACCTTTAATTCTTGCTCATTTGCTCGTTAGAACTACCTTTGGTGACCCTGATGGGAGCTCCACCCCAGCCCACACTGACTGGCACCTACAGTTTTTTTCCTCAGTGGGCGGGTCCACTGCTCTTTAGGACCCAGTGGCTGCTCGATTCAAGCAAGGAGTGACTCCGGCACTCAGACGGAAACAGACAAAGGCGAGGGGAGAGACGGCGTGCCGCTATCCTGCAGCATCGACTCACACACTCACATCCACTCCCCCACACACTCCGCAATCAGCGACGCAGGTGAGTCCGCTACTGGGTGGGATAATCAGCAGACTTCAGTGATTTTTAAAGAAAGTATATATTACATTGCAGTGATTTTGACTCTCAGGGGGCAACTTTGAATATCACTGTATTATTTTATTTTTTTGCATTTTGGAAGGGGTTTATATCAGGCTTTTTTTTTTTTTTAGATTTAGGCTTGAGCAGGTGGATTGTGGCGTTCACACGCCCAACCCTCCCCTTTCATTTCAAGCAGAACTTGCATTTTAAGCTGCTGTCTCTGCCATGTGGCCACACGCCATCCATCATAAATGAAAAGAGTAGTGTCATGAAACTTTTCCTTTCGTGGCTCTTATTTTTCATTCTCTCTTTTTTAATACCTACCTTTCCGTGTGTTGGTGTGAGACATACCGCACGCAGATCAATTTTCCTGACGCGGACTGGAGAGTCATAATGTGGTGCTGGTTTGTCAGGAGTGTGTGTGGGTGTGGGTGGCTCAGTCAGGAACACCGAACCAGACAAATATATCAATGACACCACACAATGATACCGCAGTGCTGCCTGATGTCCAGGTTTGCGCTTAATTTGGAAGTGGGGAAAGCGCGCATATTTTTAACCAGATTTATTGATTGATAACGTCAAGTGTGTCAGCCACAAAGAGAGGTGATCTTTAAACAGTCGTGTCCGTGCAGATTAACACTAAAAAGCTGTGGGAGGATGTAGTTTCTGGACTTGAGCAGGAGAATGAGCCGGCTGCAGCAGGAGCAGCAGCGATGGTGATGTCACTCTGAAGGCAGGCACCCTGTTTGAGACAATGGACTGTCCTAGTCGTTGCTTTTCTGGGGAAGGGTCACTGCTCGCTCTGCTTATTAGTGCAGCAGATGGGCTTGAAACCTGGCCTTTGTCAGCTAAGGAGCACCCAGTCCACAGAAGTCCCTCCCCTGTCAGTGTGCTTATCATAAAACACCAGTCAGCAGATCAGCCAAAGGTTAGCATGCTTGGTGGGGAAAAAAGGGGGGTGTCGACCTGCCACATGGATGGGTGGTGATCTCTTCCACCCCCCGTTTGTCAGTATGGTTATGTATACAGTGCTGTAATCATGTGGTACTAAAAGAGGCAGGATAGTGGAGGATTATGGGCTGTGACATTGTGTCATTCACCAGTTTGTGAGCATGTTTTGACTAATTGGTTTAGGCCTTCTTAACATTAGCACCAGGGCTGGATATATGTTTGCAATGAATATCACAGCACAACAGCTTGTTGTTAAAAGGTGGGGCCTCAAATTTTTATTGTTTTCCAAGCTGCTTCCTTTTTTTTTTTTTCTTTTTCTTTCTTTCTTCATTTTCATATAACCATGTTGGGTCTACTGAAAGCAGCGAACCGTGTTTTTTGTACATCAGATGACTCGCATGTGAAGAAGGAAGTGAAAAGCTTAGTTTTAGTTTGAGAATTTTGCAAAACAATGACACCTAAAATTTCATATCCTCACTACACACATCCACTGAAACACTCCCTGATGATTTGGAGGACCTCCGCCTCATATTACGGCGCAAGATTGACTTTCAGTGGCAGAAGATGCCAAATGAATTCTGTCTTCAGTGACTTGAAAAATGTCAAAGTCAAATCTTGAGTTGTTAAAATGCCACTCGGCGTGGAGTTGTGTTCAAAGACCAGTGACCTTTCAGTCAATAATGACAAGTCCTGTGAGGATATCGGGGCCCGTAGAAGTGACAGAAATGTGACACTTCACATTTGTGCTATTCGGCTCGGTCTCGTCAAATATGTTTTTAAAAAGAATACTCTCCTTTAAAGTTTAAATTGGGGAGACATTGCTCATAGATCGGGGCTTTAAACTTTGCACTTCCCCTTTCATGTGAATGGGTGTGGGCGTTTGATGGGTGTCTGTGTGTCAGTTGTTGAAAAAGTATCAGTTTGAAGATGCTCTTCAATGAGTTTTTGTGGCTTTGGCAAGTTTATTTGTGGTCATCAGGTGGAAGATTAACTACCAGACTACTACTTTTGCTATAAAACCTTGGGCAGTCAACCTCCATAGAATAAACATTTTTTTTTTTTTTTTGAGTTGTTGAGCCGTATAATTTCCTTGTGATTCCGTTGATGTCATTGATATCTCAGATATCTAATAGGACAATATACAAGTTGACATCATCATTATTTCCAAAACATTTTGTGTTAGTGGTTAGCTTACTGATTCATCACTTACTGATTCATCTGGCCAAGTGAGACAGCTGCACAGAGGTGTCTGTAGGCGGACTTCAGAAGAAGAGGGGGAGCTATCATGTGCTACATGCCACATAAAGCAGTGTGGTAACAGTCAGTGAGACGTACTGCTGCACACTCACTGCATCTGGAGTATTTTAGGGTCATACTATTTTATGTGTAGAAATTCAAAGAGTCTGCACTAACATTTTAAAAATCATTTTTAAAATTGTTAATGCATGCGTGACAAAGTTTTAGTTTGACATGCAGTATGGATTGATGACCAGCGGTTTTAGTACGTGTAGCTTTAAATGCACCGGTTGGCCACGCCTCTTTCAGGAAGAATGGTGTGCCGGCTGTTGCCATGGATACCTTGGCTAAAACAAGGCAGTACCAATATGGCTGCTATGCAATGAATTTAAGTGAATGTGAGAAAGCGTCCCGTTGCTGCTGTGTCTGAGTGATTATTTTCTGTGTAAATATAACCTGCAGCTGTCTCTGAATTATTTGCATTTTGTTTTTGTTTTTTTCCTTTTAGATATCATGATTAAATCAGGGTTTTAGCTGCGCACAGTGCCAGCTTTGGAAATGGCTTATAAATGACAGCTGGTTAACATGAAGCCTTAATGTGCTCCGTGTGTCATAATGATGTAATGCTCATTATGTTGTTTAACTACAAAAAAGGAAAATGATTTAAATGAGAGCAGCTTTATTGAAATAGTTGATGTGAGGACAGTCTAGGAGAGAAGAAAACGGAGGCAAACATTAGCCTGTTAGCTGTGCTCCCTGCTAACAGTGGGATAAATACAGGGGCATGAACGTTACTACCAAGATGTCATGCATTAATTTCTCAAATCCCATTTTGAAGCCTCAGCGTTATTGTTTCCGCCTTATTAACGAAGAGTGTGTGGTTTCATAAGTCTGAAACATGGTATGACCAAGGTTCTTAAAAACTGACTTAATTTTTCTTTTCTTTTTTTAATTTGGTATGACCCAAAATGAGTGAACCCATAAATTCATAGGAAAGTGTTGATGGAGGTCAAGTCAGAAAGCTGTTTTCTCAAGTCTTTTTGCAACAACAATTATCACCTGGTGGAATTCCAATCGGCATATTTTTCTTTTCTTAATTTCTTATAAAACATGTCCATGTTTTTATACTGACTTTATATTGGATACGTGTTTTATACTGCATAAATATCAGGGGAATTAAAAATAGCAAATCCACTGGGTGTTAAGTTCCTCAGATGCCATGAGTGGACACATACTCCTTGTCTTAGAAGCAAACAATTAATGGGCAGTGCCAGGGCAGCACTGTACAAATTTAACTTCAGTGACTATTGGTTTCCAGTTTTAATATTAGCGATACAATTGGCTAATCATCTTAATCTCATTCCTGTGCCTAATCCTCACCTAGCTCTGGATTTTGGTTTATTTAGATGCAGATTTATGAATAAGTCACAATCATGGAATTAAATGTTGCTCTGAGTGAAATGTCATGAACATACGACCATTAACCGTTAATACTACTGCAGTATCTGGTGATACATTACAAGCACTTGTTTCCTTCTTTCCCTAGACTCTCTGGAGCTGGTCACCACCCCAACACATCTGTCACGACCACCATAACTTTCAGTCATCATGGAGCTAGACTTTGGACATTTTGATGAGCGAGACAAGGCCTCTCGTACCCCGCGGGGCGGGCGTATGAATGGACTCCCCAGCCCTACTCACAGCGCCCATTGCAGCTTCTACCGCACACGCACTCTGCAGGCCCTCACCAATGAGAAGAAAGCCAAAAAAGTGCGCTTCTATCGCAACGGAGACCGCTTCTTCAAAGGCATCGTGTACGCTGTAGCCAACGACCGATTCCGCACCTTTGATGCTCTCCTGGCCGACTTGACGCGCTCGCTGTCCGACCACATCAATTTGCCACAGGGTGTGCGTTTCATCTTCACTATTGATGGTGCACGCAAGATCACAACCTTGGATGACCTAGAGGAAGGTAAAAATGTTCCAGCAGGACCAAGCAAATGTATGATTTAACACCATGAAATATTGGTGCATTGTAAGGTTTTAGTAAAGGTAGAACCACTGTGAAAAGGTGGGCCCTCAAGATACCCGCCAGTTTCTTTGCTGAGAAGTATTAGAAAGAAACATAAAACTTGCAGTTTTTTGAGATTACAAGTCTAATCTGTTCAGTCTAGACTTCTCTAATCTCCCATATGATGTATTAAATTCTAGGCTAAAGAGTTGTGTTTATGCAGTTGACTGACATCGGTCTACTTTTTTGGTAGTTGGGCAGTTTTGTTTGACGGAAGTTGTTTAAAACATTTTTTTTTCTTTTGACAAAGGCAAAAAACCGAGACAAATGGGGCAATGCAGTGAAAGAGCCAATCTGTTTTAAACATCCACATGCATGCTCTTTCATTTCTTAAATGTAAATTGTATTTTAGCATCTTGCTGTTGGGGAATTCCTGTTGCAGCTAATAAAGCTGAAAGTGGGTCTTCTGTCTTGATCTTAATGGGATTCAGTGTTGAGTTTAGACTCTCAGAGGGCTTCCTTCTGTACTTTAAAGTTGGATCTTTACACTCAGCATGAGAGAGCAGTTTGTTAATTGAAATCATTAGGATCTCATCATTGAAGAAACCACCATCCACATTTCTTTATGCATATTTATTAAACCTTTCCCACAGTACCCATAGCAACGGTGAGAAGAAATCCAAATAAATTGAAGTTACACCTTTTTATGATTTTCAGATTTTTCTGATTCAGCAGTCACGATTATTATAGCTACTGTAAGAATCTGGGGAGCTGTTCAGCTTGCATTTCTGTCTGATAGCTGGAGTAGTGTAGACACCCTTAAGAGCAGCTGCCACCGTGATTGCTCTTGTTCCATTTGGCACCAGAACACCGACTAGGACAAGAAGTGATTCATTTGCCTCCAAAAATTTATGTAGTGAAAGTTGCCAAACATGGTGACTGAAGGAAATCTTCGCTCGACATCAAACCGGATGATCCATGTGTTGACCTGCTTGTCGCAAATTGCTGTTCCAGTCAAATTGTCGCTTATTTGCAGCAGCCTGAAGCTGAATTTGTGACATGGGATGTGTCAGAGGGATAATGCAATTTGAAAAGGGGGAAAGTCAGATGGATGAAGTGAGAGCAACGATATTAGTTAAATGCTGCTTAAACCCCAGTCCTGTCTCCCCCCCCCCCTTTCTTTTTTTGAATGAGGGTTTCTCAGGTTTAATATTTAGAAAGTAAAACATCCCAGATTTTTATTTATTTATTTTTTTTCCCTTCTCCCCTCTTTCTCTCCACTCGCACACAGACTTGACTTTGCGAGATTCCTTTAAGGCTGCTGAGGGATGAGGTAGACAGGGTGAGTTTTGGGTAAAGCTGGAAGATAAACTGCAGCTTAATTTGTCTAAAATGAGGTGATCATCTCTGCCGCTTGAGCTGCTTAGGAAAGATAGGAGTGTGTGTGTGTATTATCTTTGTGTATATGTGTGTCGAGCAGGGGTGCAGAGTTAGCACTGTGGGTGGCGAGGCTATTTCATTGTGCTTCCTTTTGTGAGATATAATTAATTGTTCAATCTCCTCTGCACAGTGTAATCCCGTTTTGTTCCTCTTGTCTCTTCTGCAATTTCTCCACATTTGGCCTAATTGTTGCCTTCTGGATTGCCTCCTTTTTGCCAGATTTTTTTTCTTCCCCTCCCTCTGTCCCCCAGCAGCCTTTTGTCTTTAAAGTCTAGCCTGCAGTAAAAACTATGAACTGATGATGAATACAGCAGATATTTTAGGAAAATGTGGCAATCATTCGGTATATGAAGTGCAATCATTGACACATGGTTATTAAACAGTCTACATTTATCTTATTACCTCAGGTTTCAAAGCAAGGACTGATCCAAAGTGGTAAAGCATGAAACAAGTTTGTTTCCATACTGAGTGGAGAGGGGTTAATTCTAATGGTATTTGTCGTAATGGTGCTACCATCTCAGTAAAATGGGGTAAGTTTGTGGCAATCCAGTGATCCAAATTTTGCAAATATTCATGGCAACGCAGCCTGGTGGTTCAAAGCCTGTCTGTGAACTTCAAACAAGACCTCAGCAGCCATGCTAATGTCTGTAAAGTGATTTTCAGTCATTTTAAAAACCTTTTCTTCCCTCCTACTAGTCTTGAAAGTTCCTGAAGGTTCAAATCTTTGAGTAGAGAGACGCTGCGGGACTCTCAGGTGCCAAAGTTGAATAATAAGCGTGTTACGACACACTAACCCAATTTCTCTTTGACTCCGCAGGGGAAAGCTATGTTTGCGCATCAGAGAACTTCTACAAGAAAGTTGACTACACAAAGAACGTCAACCCCAACTGGTCTGTGAATGTAAAGGCCTCAGCAAGCCAGAAGAACATGCAGTCCTTAGCTGCCAAGGCTGCCGGTGAGTCCAGGGAGACCAAGGACTTTATTCGACCCAAGCTCGTAACGGTCATGCGTAGCGGCGTGAAGCCACGCAAAGCTGTCCGCTTCCTGCTCAATAAGAAGACCGCACACTCCTTTGAGCAGGTGCTCACTGACATCACGGAGGCCATTAAACTGGAGAGTGGCGTGGTTAAGAGGATCTACACTCTGGATGGCAAGCAGGTATTGTCACTTTACACCGTGATATAAAGTTATTGGCTCACACGTGCTGCTGAAAATCTGACTTTACGGCATGTGATGTGCATATGAAAATGTCTAACCTGCTAAAATTCAAATGAACCATGCTGTGGATGGAGTTTTGTCTGCATTTGTTTAATTTGGGATAGAGCCCTCTGTTTGAGAAATAAGTGAAATAAAGGCAGTACAGTACTGTATGTAAACGAAGTCTCACAATAGGAAAATTTGTGGTCGGATTGAGGACAGTGTGTCATTCATACATCTGCCCCCACACAGGCAGTGATGAACGGGATCAAGAGAAAGCAGGAAGCAGAATAATTTGCTTAGAAATGTAAAAAACCAGACAAAACGATCTTGTTGCCTCATCAGTGGTTTCCTTTTAACTCCAATGACTTTCAAAAGTGACACAAGATGCCCACAAAATCCTATTGTTCTGTCATAACCTCAGCCAACAATGACTTAGTCGCTCCATGAGAACTCCAAGCGTCTGTAGGAACAACCTTTGTATGACCTTTGCTGTCAGCAGTTTGTCTTCAGACTTTTTTTCTCTGATGCTACCTAGTCACCTGTGTTGTGGTCAGAGACATTAGTCTTGCCTGCCAACCTTTTGTTGCTCAGCTGGTTTTAGGCCACTGGTATTTCTGAGTCCCATCTGGCTTTGAAAAGCTTAAAAGTCCTGCGTAGTTCTGATGTCTTCCCACTATAGTGTGCAAAAAGGGCCCGGCCCTGTATTGTTGCCATTTTGTTCCCATTCGGAGGCAAACATTGTGACACCAAATGACCATTGTTCGAACATCCAGTCAAGACATCCTCTCGTGCTTGGAAGAATGATTCCAGAATGAAAGTGCTGACATTCATCTGTTCTAATTTTAAGATAAATGCTTGACATCCTTACTGGCCAAGAGGTTGCCTTATTTTCTGAATTTTTGTATTTTACCCGTTTGGCTAAATTTCTACCCTTACAGCACATGTGTAGGGTAAAAATGCAGGTATAGACAAACCTGCACAGTAACAGGATTACTAGTCTATCATCTCAAAGTCTGCAATGTTGGTCTTTTTATATGACTAGCTCAGTTTGTCAAACCAGGTAAAATTATCAGCAATTTGTTGATCTTGAACCCAACTGGCTGCCGATTGTGGGAGAATCCATTAGACTGGGACATGGTCACTGTACCAATATTATATTTAAGTCTATTTCACATATACTAGTTTACCAAGCTGCCGTTTTTAACGATATGAATTTACCTAAAACCAAGAAAAAAAATCCGCATGAGACACCCACACGCACATTTTAATATTGCCTAAAAGTCGTTCCCTGGGGATGCTATTGTTTACTCGACACACCAGCTAAGCTAAAAGGACATAATATATTATTCATGCTCACACTTTATTGGGATACTTTTAAAGCGCAGCCGCAACCATACAGCATCACCCAGGGGCGATCGTGGCTCAAGAGTTGGGAGTTCGCCTTGTAATCGGAAGGTTGCCGGTTCGAGCCCCGGCTTGGACAGTCTCGGTCGTTGTGTCCTTGGGCAAGACACTTCACCCGTTGCCTACTGGTGGTGGTCAGAGGGCCCGGTGGCGCCAGTGTCCGGCAGCCTCGCCTCTGTCAGTGCGCCCCAGGGTGGCTGTGGCTACAATGTAGCTTGCCATCACCAGTGTGTGAATGTGTGTGTGAATGGGTGGATGACTGGATATGTAAAGCGCTTTGGGGTCCTTAGGGACTAGTAAAGCGCTATATAAATACAGGCCATTTACCATTTACCATTTAGCTGTAAGGCTGTGGAAAGGTTTGAGATGATGCGCTTAACTAATTCCTTAATATCAAGAGATGTCACTGTAAAGGTGTGTGTGTGTGTGTGTGTGGCATTACAAAAAAGGTTGGCTATGGAGAGGATTGTGCTTTCAGATTTGTCTGCAGAGGTGACCTTTTTGACTTTATTAAACCGTAATAGTATAACTGATCTTGCTTTTCTCATGATAACGTTACTCCTGTATACCTGTGAGTTCCAGACTAGTGTGAAGCGCTGCGTGTGTGTGTGTGTGTGTGTGTGTGTGTGTGTGTGTGTGTGTGTGTGTGTGTGTGTGTGTGTGTGTGTGTGTACATCTGTTCCTCAATCCTCTCTTTGATATGGTTAAACGTTTGCCTATTCTTAGGCGCAAACCCTCTTTTCCTGTCTTATTGATTACAAATGCATTACTGACTGGGGTATCTCTTACATGTTGAACTGCCTTTTTCTTTGTGTATTAATAATGCTGGAAAGCGATGCGTCTTGGAGGAGGGGAGGTGTTCTGAAATGATAGATGGGAGGCTATTTGATTTTAATGCTCTGTCCCTTGGGTGCAGTCTGTCCGCCCCGGGTCTTGTACTGGTTTTCTCCAGAAGCTCCTGCTGGAGATGGAAATCACCTTATCCCTCCCCTCCTCCCTCTTCCCTCACACACATGCATAATGATAAATGAATTGTGGTCACACCATCAACAGCCATCATATTGCAGGCATTCCAATCGATGCATATTGATTGTGCTGCCATCATGGTAGCTCTAGCTTTTTTTCACAATTCACGTCTGCTGATCTGTTGCTCCTGCCTGCGACTCCCCGTTTCACATTAATGCACAGAAATGTGAGAAACGCAGTGCACGTTATTATGGCGTCTTTGTGTGCAGAGGCACATTGCAGCTGCTCTGTGGTGGAGGTGATATGGTAGAAGCAATATTGATGCAGTGCCCACCCCTCCCTGACTCTGCGCCGATCCTCCTCTTCCCATTCCGCTGCGATAGCTGCTGGGACTGGTTGCTAGGAGACCACATCCCAGGCACAAAGAGAGCCCAGCTGGTGTGGACCGGTCTGTCAGATACCACATCCTGTAGTGGGTGTGAGAGTTTACTATCAAAGCAACCCTTTAGTATTTAAAATATTAAAAAAAGAGACCACATGTCATGTTTATTTTACCTGCTTGCATTCCATCATTGGGTGTGACTTGTGTGAGCACACTCTAGCGTGTGTGTGTGTGTGTGTGTGTGTGTGTGTGTGTATGTGTGTTTTTTATCAGCTCTGCTGGTGCCCAAAATTTGAGAAGGCGTTGCAGGTTGTCTTCCTGGCATTTTTAAAATGGCTGCTTTTCATGCTTTGACGTTCCTCTTTTCCTTAATGGACTCTGCAGACAGCCCGCTCGCCCCTCTTTGCAAGTGCTGTGAACAAAATCACTCCCATTTTTCCCTCAAATGCTGCTGCTTTGCAGCCCAATCAGGAAGGGTGGGGCCAGTGGCTTCAGGATTACCATTCTTACAGCAAATTAGGATCATTTTATTTGCACTGATGGGGGGGCTAATTATTCCCTGAGTCTATGGAGGGGGGGGGGGAAAAAAGTGCATTACTTCATTTGCCCTCACTGCTTCTACATCAGGTTGGAGAGCGTCTATCTAATTGCTGGCAGCCATTTTGTATTCTTTCCTCTTTGATAGAGGTGTCTGCAGAGGAGACTGGCTCTGATTTGCATTTAAGATTCACTGCTTGCTCATTTGAATTGCACTTAAGAAAAGGTTATCGTCTAACAGACGCCATAATCAAATATCATTTGTGAAACGTCTTGATGATGCATTGTGCTGCTGTGTCGTTTTGTCCTGGTGCATTATCACAAGTCTGGAGCAGAGCAGAGGGCTTTAACAGATTTGAGTGTTTAATATTAAGACTCGGGTTGGGATCTTTAGTTTTTAAGGTTTGCTTGAGATTAAGAGACAGTAAGATGTGACTGAGAAAGTATTCAATTAAAAAATAATCCTCTTTTCTGAGGCTGCATTGCATTTATGACTGAATCAGTCACAGGCAGAAAATCAGGTTTTCTTTTTGCATTGACAGTAATTTCATGTTTTATTTTTTTCTTTTCTATTTTTTGTTTTAACATTTAAAATGAATTTGTTAAACAATCACAGAGGGGGGGGAATGGATGCTTCAGGCACAAGGTCGCGCTGTTATTGTCAGAGAACAAAAGATTCCAGTTCACTTTAGCGGTTAATAACTATGGTAACAAATTATTCACTGAATTAATAGATGGATGTATGCTCGGGTTCAAAGCTTCTTAACGACTAAAATACATCTGCTAACGGGCAAGAAAAGCCTGCTTTTCCCTGGTTATCAGTGCTCTAGCAGTGTCTGCTTTTGCCATACTGCAGAAGCAGTTGTCATGGCAATAAGCTCCACCGTGATGGATTCAGTTTGTGACAATGGTTGTAATGCGCTGAGTGTGCTCTTTACGCTGGGTCTTACCTGCCCTGCCCTCTAGTCCTCATCCGTCAACAGCTCACTGCATTTGCGTGCACGTGTCCACACGTGCACGCAAATGCAGCTAAACTGAGTCAAGCAGACAGGCAGGGTGACGGAGGGGCGTGGTCCCTCGTGATGAGGCACTGCAAGCAGGCATAGAGGGAATAAGCATACATGTATAAGCTTCTAACAGCCCCACTTTCATGCAATGAGCACCACATCAACAAGTGAGCATGACCTGGGGGAGAAGAGGAGGAAGCACTGTTTAATAATGTTAAGGCCACATCAGTCAGCTAAATGGAAAGCCTGCTTCCGTGGGGTCGAGAGGGGTGGGGTTAAAACGGCATCAGGCACCAGCTGGTCCCCATGACTGTGCAGATATCTGTGCCTAACTGGCTCATGTGTGCTCCAAATGCATCCAGAGCACCTACGATAACGCACAAGCAGTACGTTGGTGCATGAAGGTCATGGATGGGTCAGAAAGGCAACTGGTAGCAGTTTCCTGTAAAGCAATTACTGATGTCCAAATGCACCCCCTTCTTTTTTTTTTTTTTTTTTTCTTTTTTCAATTTGCTAAATTTGTCCTGAAATTCTATCAGTACCTGAGCTGCTGCTGTCCTAAAAGATAATCTGACGTGCTGCTTTTTTATACTTGTCTGAAATGAACAAACTGGAGAGTGTGTATTTTGGAGGAATATTCCACTCGGTGCAGAGGTACTGATATTGATCAGGTCTGTGTGCTCAGTGAAGAGACTGTGGGCGTTTTTACCCATAGGCTGAAAAAAGCAAGGTCCTTTTTTTTTTTTTTTTTTTTTCTTAGGCTGATATGAGAATACTTTGCAGAGCACATCAGATGTGTGTAATCAGTTACGCACTACTCTATTCCAGTGTTTAACCTTCTGTTGACTCATTAAAGCTTATGTTCAGTCGTTACTGTTCATAAGGTAAGTTGTGGTTAGTGAAATTGTTGGAATGCAGCACTGAGTAGCTTTACTTTTGCACTGACAGGAATTATTGTGACTATTTTTACAAATGGATGGATGCAAGTCTTTGTGAATCATTTCTGCTCAGACTACAGCTGAATGGCTGAGCTGAAGTCAATATTAACCAGCTGTCCTTAAAAGAAAAGGGGGGGGGAAAAAGACAAAGGATGCATAGCTTTGTTTGAAAATGCTCCCTGCTGCTTTGCACAAAGGCATTTTAGTTGCACCTGAAACAAGAATGTGTAGCATGCCATATGCTGGAAAGCTGAGGGTACAGATTACCTCCAGTTGTGGTAAAGGGTGGCTCTGATCCTGTGCAAGTACAGCACTTATTTTGCTATGTTATTAATATCAGTCGTGTTTTATGACAATGGCTAAAACTGTTATCCTACAGTGCTTTTTCCAAATAGTTTCATAGAGATCGTATTGTGCTGCACATATGGAGCCAAATTTCTCAAATTACCTCTGAGAGGTAAAGCTACTGTTCACCCCAGGAGGTTTCTGTGTTGCAGAAATTAAGTACCGTGGTTCCACCCACTTCTTAATTGGCATTGGGGAACTGAAGACCATCATCCAGTTAAAGGGCGTTTGCCCTTGCCAAGTTGGGTTAAAGAAACTCTGAATAATTCAGTTGCTGTTATTACATGCTTGCTGGTGGGTTTTGTTTTTTTTCCTTCCCTTTTTCCTGGGGGTCATGTGGACCTGACAGCTGGTGAGGCAGAGATTAGGGATGGGCTTGGTGGGACAGAGGGTGGAGGGCACCTGGAGTCTGTAAAGAGCCAGTTTTTCAGAAAAAATACGCCCACATCATCCCAGTAAATGCAGAGATGGGTACACTCACCCTGACATGTGCAGTACAAGCGTAATATGTATAAATGCAGTATGACAGCACTTTTGATCCATTTAAGTAAAATGGCATCAGGTCGGCTCATTGTCCTCCTCACGGACCCCTTTGCCAGATGGGTGAGGTTGACCTTTTCAGATCGAGGGAGGATGCTTCCTAACCTAAGCGCTCCCAAGCCGGCATGTGCCTTCCTCATTCATGCCATGTTTCTAAATGGACATTTTACATTTGATCTAATCACATGCAGAGCAGTTTTTTTTTTTTTTTGTTTTGTTTTGTTTTTTTTGTTTGTGTTTTTGTTTGTTTGTTTTTTCCTCACAAATTTCTGCCAACTGTACAAACTTATCAGGCCAATTTTATGGCGTGTTAGTCACTATTAATACACAACAGGCTTGCTGACTTTGACGCAAGATGGAGGTTTGGGCAGAGTTTGACACTGTAATCATACAATGTGGATTTAGGACTTTGAAAACATTTAAAAGTCCAAAGCTCTTGATCAGATAGGAAATTTGGTGGGTTTTTGGGTGTTTTTGTTTTTTACTATGGAAGCTTGAACGTAAGGCTAATTTCCTTTCGGCCTCTGATAAGAGAACGGGTGAGGAGTTTAGCTTTGGAAGCCAGTATGAGTTAAATTTCTTTGCAGCGGTACAATTGTTCAGACATTTCAATGTTTAATCCCATTCAGTATCTTTTGTTTTGAAGCATTCATACTGAATTCTCCCATCAGAGATTAGACATGTTGTTGGAAGTTAAAGTGGTCTTGCGTGCCAGGCAGCCAGAATCTTAAATTTAAGTAGCGATCTGTTAAAGAATAAAGTAGCAGTCTATAGGATTAAAACATTATCCCTTTAATCATCTCTGTTCCTAAAGCTATTAAAAACATGCAGTAGCGTCTACCCACCCACGCTGTTTCGGCCCATTTTCATCTCCTTTCCTCCACCCACTCGCCTTAAGGGTAGAAAGAACACCTACTAATGCTTCCATATTATGATTAACTGTCAGGTGCCCTTCTTGCCATACAACAGTTTAACCTAATGAAAGTAGTATGTATGTATGTATCCAATTTCCTGATAACGAACACTAAAGAGAACCCAAGTGTGTAGCCTGTAAATTAGCCCCAGCTGAAAAACCAATTAGGTTTTGATCCCTGGAGTCGAAGCACCATCTCTGTACCTCGGCAGGGCTCTGAAAGGCCCGCGTTGGGGGGGGGAATATTGTGGGGCACAGAGGAGGGTACAGCTGTTGGATGCCACGCCAACAAGTCACCACCACACACTTTTAGCTTGTCTAGCAGGACGGAGAACCAACATTGCAGCTGCTGGGGTGGTGAGATCCCAAATTATCCAGAGCTCATAGTTTGAATGTGTATCACAGTGGCAACCCATGATGCATCTTGACCCTGGCATGGGCCCCAACATGGGGCTGTTTTTCAGCATGTGGATCTCTAAACAGTCTTGCGTTGGTGAAAACTGACGTGCTTTTAAATAAAAAAAGCAAATTCCATCTTTAAATAAAGGGCAAGTTATCTGTAGTTCACTTATAGTAGTGCTTTGATCCTATAATTCTAACAAGAAGGAAGAGATTTCAACAGGTGTTGAAAGGCAGAGTGGAAATTTGACTGATATGCTTTGTAACAGATCTCATCAGCACAAGAAAGAAGAGCAGTGTTTAGCTTGAATGGCTTTAATAGGCGTGTCTGAGCTGGTAACAGAGTCCGTATAATGGAGAACGGGGGAGAAGGTGTGGCACAAAGACATCTGTCCGCTCAGTAAGCCATATTGTGTCAACAGCTGCTTTAGAGTGAAAAGACCCCGGGGAAGGAAGTCGAATCATTTAAACATTACAGTAAAGGTGTAACATTATCATCTGTCTGGGGTTTTTTGTGCCTTTTGTGTTAATGTTTTGTTACATGAATCTAAAGGTATGTAAACAAGACGAGCAAAACACACAGGTCTGCTACAACCTGAAGATCGGAAGTTTTTATTTAGTGATTTCATTCACGTACGTGTGTGTGTGTGTGTGTGTGTGTGTGTGTATTTTCATTTAGCATATCTAACATACAGTGATAGACATTTGAGCTGGCAGTCCTCTTGGCAAACTCATAATCGTAGCTTCTATAGTAAGATTCTGATTTTCAGTTGGCCTTTTAAACCTTACTTTTGCTAGTGACATGCTCCTAACCTAGATCCGTCAGTCTTTTATTCAGATTAAAACACCTCCGCAACTGCCGGATTTGTGCAGATATTTCTGCTCCTTGGAGAAGAAGAATATGAAGGACTTGGTGGTCCCTGAAATTTTCCTTGTCACTAGAATCGGGTACAGATTTGTGTGTGGTGTTTTTTTTTTATTTTTTATAAAATATGTTGGATGGATTGCCATTACGGCATGTACTCCTATTAACTCCAGGATAAATGGAGGGAACAGGAGTGTACAATTGAGAATGTCTTTATATTTTATGTATGGGCAGTGGATCAATATTCAGTTGAACACATTGGTGCAATGAAAGGGGCTAAATGCCTGAGCCTCCATGCTTTCTCATTCTGCTGTACCTTTATTGCTAATTAACTAGGTTAGCATGCTAGCTGCTCTTAGTTTAGCTCAAAGCACTGTTGTGCCTGAGTGTGTTCAGTAAAGTATTTTCTATTGTCTGTGCGTTCGAATCAGTGTTTTCCTAGAGGACGGTATCACCCACTTGACAGCTTTTTTTTTTTTAACCTTTTTTTTTTTTTTTTAAATTTTATTTTTTTGGTACATCACCTTTCCAGGAAGCTCCTGTATGTGGTCAACCATCAATGGTAATTGCGCAACAATATAGCAAAGCACGATATAAGATAAACATCATTAAAAGCACATTGAGTTATTTAAAAGGCTGATGGCTGACAGGACAAATTAGTTGGTCTGTGGCCACATCAAAGCAACTTAAACTCTTTAGACAGGCTGGCACGAATCAGCCACGACCATGGACGGTATTAAAAGATACATGAGGGTACTCTTTCTATAGTACCTGATGACTTGGAACCACAACTATCGACATCTGGTCAATGTAGGGTTTTGGCTTTATTTTTCTGCCTTGGAATCTTGGTAGTCTTAGTTCCTACAATAGATGACAAAAAATATCTAGGCTTTCTTCAAAGGCCTAACCATATACACATAAGGAATGTTATTAAAGACAAAGCCCATGGATTAGCAGCACACTTTGACTATACCTTGGAATGTGGGACTTGGTCCCAAAGTGCGGTTTTTAATGCCGCCTTTATTTTACAGTTCCTGCATGCTTTCCAATATCGGGTTTGGTATTGTGGAATTAATTTGGGATATTTGAGTCCACAGCCTCTTATGTTTGTAGTAAAACGGTAGAGCCAGTAGACTCTACTTTTATATTTTATATTCCAATTTCTCAAATTTGCTGTATTGTGTCTTAATAGGTCACCTGCCTCCAAGATTTCTTTGGCGATGATGACGTCTTCATTGCATGCGGACCAGAGAAATTCCGCTACGCACAGGACGACTTCTCTTTGGATGAGAATGGTTAGTAAGCATGATTGAATTGGTCTGTTTTGCATCCCATTATGGAATCAACTTAAGCGAGTAGCCACACACTGTAATGCAGCTTGTCGGATGAGGGGTTGAACAGTTTATGATCTCCCTTTTTTAAAAAGCCACAGTAGTGATCAGTTATCCAGACTCAAGTTTAAAATCCTGCTCCTGACATGTAAGGGCTTTGCTAATCAGCCCCCATCTTATCTTAAAGCCCTCATAGAACCATATCATCCCACTGAAGAACTTTGCTCTCAGACTGAAAGCTTACTTGTGGTTTCTCTAGTGTTTAAAAGTTAAGGCTGAAGGCTCTGCCTCCCATTTAAGGCCCCCTCTTCTGTGGAACCAGCTCCCACTTTGGATTCAAGAGACAAGACACGCTCTCTGTTCTTAAGATTAGGCTTCCTTTTGATAAAGGCTTATAGTTTGGGCTGGATCAGTGTTTTTATATCCTGTCTTCCTCCCCTCAGCCCTGACCAGTCATGGCTGATGGCTGCCCCTCCCTGAGCCTGGTTCTGGTGGAGATTTCTTCCTGTTAAAAGGAGTTTTTCCTTCCCACTGTTGCCAAATGCTTGCTCAAATGGGATCATTGGATTGTTGGGGTTTTCCCTCTAGTATTGTAGGGCTAGTTTATAATATTTAGTTTACATGATAAAGCACCTTGAAGCGACTGCTGTTATGATTTGGTGCTATATAAATTAAAAAATACATTGAGACTGAGCTATCATGCAGTAATATCAGCTGTATAGAGAGATGACCTGTAACTGCAAATGACGTTAACATATTTGTCCATGAATCCTCTGCACGGCTTCATTTGCACAATTTTATGACCAATTTCTAGAGTTCTTGTGCAAGTTGTGCAAGATGGAATTAACGCTGCACATGAGCATCCAAAAAGTGTACTGTGTGTGTGTGTGTGTGTGTGTGTGTCTACAGAGATGAAGAAATGTATCCTTTTCATCAGGTTTTATTCATGTACAATGCTCTGTGGATGGAATTGTATATGTGTGAGGGAGGCTAAAAAGGACACTGAGCGAAGTCTTATCTGCACCCGGCAGCAGGGATGGGAAAAGGCAGGAAAAAGAAGAGCCATTAATCTGTCCTGTGACAGGTTTAGGCCAGCTGATCTGTTGGTGGTGATACTGCTGAGAAGTCAAGGAGAGAAAATATAAAGCCAACCCTCTGAGTTTCTCCCCGCAGACTTGAAATCCCTATTTTTAACAACCTACTTCCACCTAATGTGCTCTCCTCGAAACATTCAGTCTGCCTTTTTATGTTAACGCAGTGCTGATGCAGGGTTCATAACCATCATTATGTTACCTTCGTCTCTTCTTTTCGTTTCTTGTAAGATTCTCGGCAGGATGGAGATGCCGGTTAGTTTATAATGATCTGCGTTCTTTTTCTAACGGTGTACTCCCCCACTGAACTCGAGCTAAATCATTTCATTCAGCCTATAATAATCTTAGGGCCAATGCTAAATAAAATGGCTGAGTGGCTCAAGCAGGCATTTCTGAGTTGGCTTCAGTGGAGTTGATGAGACTGGCTTCTCTGTGATTCATCACGGTATGGATGGCTGTATCTATAACAAATTATAGAGATCAAGCAGACATTTTTTTTTTTTCAAATTTAAGAATCTGTACGGGCAAGAAAGACACACGACAAATATGCTATGAAATATTTCTTTAACATTTTCTGGGCTGGAGATGACCTTTGAAAGATCTACATGGGGAAAAATATATTCAATCACATGATTACTGCTACCAAAATGGATTAATATCCCCCGAGTATTTTTATTTATTTTTTTCACACTCCTTATGATAAATATGCCGACTGAAAGGAGTGCATGAGTACCTGCAGGTCTGTTTATGCAGTTGCAACATTAACAAAAGCCAAAAGGGACTCTAACAGACTCTATTCTGCTTTGAGACCACTGAGAAGATTTGACAAGCTGCTAGTCTGAGGTACTGTCAGATGCGTGGTGGCACACCTTGGAAACAATAGCACGTGAATGTGCGCCTGTACCCAACGGTGTGTGAAGGTTGAGAGAGAAGGAGACGAGACAGACGTGGCGAGATCTCAGGAGACGAAGGGAGGACAGATAGTATAATTAGCATCAAAAGTGGAAGAGAGGAGGAAGGGAGGGAAGAGAGCCTGACTGTACAAACAGAGGGGAAGATGCAGCGGGAGGAGTAGCAGTGTCTGGAGTCTGTCTACCCTGATTAATACAGTGACCCAGAATGGACTGCACATTCCTACATGCATGTTGTGTTTATTGTAACACCAAATTGTTGTTGGGGGGGGAAGAAATGTATCATAATTGATTACACGCACTTTTTAAAATGTGAGGTTGGCAACAAAGGAAAAAGCTGCTGGAGGAAAAAAAGGACGTAACAGAAATGAACGCGTTGAACTCGAGGCATGAACGGTGGGTTCATTTCAGACATTTTGAAAAACCTTCTACTGGGGAGTATGAGCAGCTCAATTATTCTGTTGGGAGGGGGGAAAAAATGTTATTCACTACTTTCTTTGTGCTTTTTATTTTCTCTCTCTTTACAGAATGCAGAGTGATGAAGGGACCCAAAGCTCAGCGAGGTTCAGCCAAGAGTCCTGGTCCAATCAAGCGCTGCAAGTCTCCTGCTGAATCGAGTGAGCCCGATACATCTCACCTACACTCTAGCCCTTCCCTTTTTTAAAAGCAGCCGACCACACCTTAGAAATCAAAGCTGGTGTAAAATTTAAAACAGGGTCTTTTCTGTTTAAGTGAATGAAAATACAAGATGATACTGTAGCAGATTCACGTAACTGATGTTGACCTTTGACTTAATCTGAAAGGAAAAATATGCCATGACATCATTAATCACACCTTTTTTTTTCTTTAAATATTACCTGAATTTTATTCTGTGTAATTTTGATTAAAAGGCAGTAAATGGTTAAAAAGTCAATCTCAGCATAAACTGGGGGCTTTTCTTTGTTGTGGGTCTTCTGAGCTTTAGTATAATCTTTCTGCTGTAGTTTCTTTAAAAGCATGAATAAAACATGAAAAGTAAACAAAGCCAATTTAAACAGCTTTGAGCTGTTTGTTTGACGATCAAGCACTTTAACATTTAATAATAACATCCAGGAGGCGAGAGAGCATGGAGGCTCTACAGCTGGTTCACGCTTAAATATTTCATGTGAGGAAAATCGTACCATCCGAGTTTACATAGCTTTACCATTCAGCGGCTGAATAGTTTTATTAAAATTGTCGGCATGATTTAAAACGAGCAAACAAAAGAACGACTTGAGGAATATGGAGCGCTTGCCCCTTTCTTTTTCTTCATGTACTGTTGCTGCATTACATAATAGGTGAGGTCTCCTGCTCTCTACAGGTTTCCTCAGTCATTTGGCTGTCATGGATATTTATTGATCACCAATGGTAAATGTCTGGACTCTAACACAGCAGGTGGTGGGCCAGCATCGTGTGGAGGCAGTAAACTATTTACCCATTAAGCACATTTGTAATTCCCGTGAGGCATGAAAGGAAGTGCATATTTATGTCAGTTAATCAATAGTACTGATGAGTTTAATGAAATTAGATTTTCTATGCTTTGGAATGATTGTCGTTTATGCCGTTTGCTATGGCATAACAAGTCTTAACACCTTTAATATATTCAAATGAAAAAGCCTTTAAACTAAAACAACCATATAAAACGGATGTTTCCACCCAACAACAGTAATGTTTTGAGTTATGCTTTGAATCCTTAATAGAAACGGATGTTTTAATGTTATGAAAAATTGAACAGTCTCAGGGATTTACTAGGGAATCTGTACACTTTAAAAACGGCGTGATCATAGCAAGACTCGCACTTTACAGAATTCGTGTCCTAATATGGCTCTTTTACAGCAGACTTGGGCAGTATTGAGGTATTACAGTATTTAGAAATCCCAGTACTGCTCTTTTTTTTTATTCATTTGAAATGGAGGATTAGTTTATTCTACCACCAACATCTCTGCTTTTTTTTTTCTGCTTCTTTTAACACACATACCATGACATACTGAATAGCAGTTTGTATTAGTGTGCGTTTGCCATTGTGCCGGCGTTAAAGTACACAATGACATGCAGTAATGTGCAATCAAAACAACCACACAATGCGAGGGGTTTTCTGCGGAAGCTGAATAAATATTCCAGATGTAGAAATCTGAGACCCAAACCGTGGCAGTGTGGGCAACTTTCTGTGTTCGTTTGATGTCTTTGGCCCTTTTCACAGCTGAGTGTCTCAAAAATCAGTACATCTAAACACGAGCAGCTCTCCCACACAGACTGAGCAGAGAGTGCAGTTATTTTATTTAAAGAGCCCGGGATAATGGGACTTGTGATTTCTCTGTTTGGCTGTGGGGTTTCTGTCGATCTGCCCGAGTGTTTAAACGAAGCCAGCGGCTTTACAATGAAGCTTTATCCACCTTGTGTTTCCAACAGTCGCTGGCTTAAACTTAGACCGGCCATCTGGCTCACGCTCTTTTCATCTCTTATAGACAAAAAGTCTTTCAAGCCACTTAACACTCACGGCTACATCACATCACACTGCTCTTAGATATAAACAGTGTTCCACACACACAGAATCCTAGCAACGTCGCGGAGACGCAGAGCGAGTGAATAAAACGTCACCTAACAAACAGAACTTGTCAGCCTCCTAAAACCTGGACCAGCAGGGTCCCTGTACATCACGGCCAAATGAGGCCACAGTTCAGGACTTGCTCTCCTTTTTGCTTCTCTTGCAAACTTTCTAATCCACTCTATGTTTACCTCTTCTACTTCTTTCCCCTCTCCTCCTCCCTCATCCCTCTTTGTCTTCCTACCCACTCTCTTTACTTCTGCGTTGGCTCTCCCAGCCAACGGGACGGGCTCCAGCAGCCAGCTGTCCACCCCGATTTCCAAGCATTCCCCCACCTCCACCCCTACCAGTCCAGGCCTCAACAACAAGCAGAAGGTACCCTAACCTCTCCTCCTCTCCTGACCTTTCATCTTGTTGCCTGTTGTCTTTTTTGTGTTTTATTTATTTATTTATTTTTTTTGCTCTTTAGTTTGAGTTTACAAAAGTAATTGTGCTCCTCTGGATCTCCGCAGGATCTGTACCTGCCCCTATCTCTGGATGATGATGATTCTCTTGGTGAATCAATGTAGACTCCTGGCTCCTGCCGCCACCCTCCCCTCCAGTTTTATTATTTTTTTCTTTGGGATCAGATACACAGAAGTTTTATACCTCTGCTGCTTTCCACCTTCACTCACAGTGCCACCTGTTTAGCATAACCCACTCTTTGTCTCTTTTTTAAAGGCCTTAGCCAACAGGGCTACGACACCATTTGCTGCTTGAGAATGGCACAAACAGAACAGAAATCATTTTTCTTCTCACAATCAGCTCACTTTTTCCAGGTTTGCTTTTCTATGTGGGATGGGCACTGTTTCTCAAAGGTTCTCACTGATCACTGTCATACAGATTTCATTATTGAAGGGAAAAAAAATCATTTTGAATACATACATTTTTGATAAAGGACGCACCCTAACTTTTAAACATTTCAGTCACAGAATTCCAAGCAGCAAATGGGTATTTTTAGGGGTGTTGGTCAGAAATGACAACTTTTGTATCACTTATCGTATTTGTGATGTTCCTCCGTGTCCTTCTGCCCTCTAAGTGAAAGGTTTCTTGTCAGAGGAAGTCTGTTAAGCCAGTTTTAGTCTTTCTAACCTGCTGTAAATACTGTGTATAGCTATCCATCATAACATCTCGCCCAATGTCCATTGCTGTGCTTCCGTAATGTCACTACAATGTCTAGCATTCGCTTAACATGATACAGGGTACGGTCAAAGTAAAGTGGGACAAAAAAATACAATGAAGTCCCCTTGACAGAGGACGTGTGGGATGCAGTCCTGACTGCGCCTCCTTAATAACATTTCATATTGCCGGCTTGATATATGTAATAACGAAGATCTAAAACCCTCAACCTCACATTTTTTAATTGCTGTTAATCTCATCCAATCAGGCGCAGGGACGATTATGTAAAGAAAAGGCATCCCACGCCTCTTTAAGTTGGCCGGTCCTCTGTTTTGACCTTCTATACAGACAGTAGGCTTTACATGCTGCATAACAACCGCCCCCGCCCCCCCACCACCCTGTGTTTTTTAGATTGTCACAAGCGGCAGCACATGATGTTGTTTTGAAGGACCTAACTGTGCATAAAAACAACCAAAGGAAGATCCAACAGGCCCTTCTGAAGGAAGAAAAAAAGCCAATGCACATCCAGTATACAGTTTTTATCGACAGTCTGAAGAATCCCTTTTTAAAACCAGTTTATCACATCTTACAGTGTACTTATTAGAAGTGATTTCACAGCAAGTAGTGGTGACATTTTTATAGTTTGAAATGATAAATAAAAATAAAGGTCTCAAAGCCAAAGTATTCTTTTTTTTTTTTTTTTTTTTTTTTTTTTTTTAAAAAAATTTTAAAAAAAAAAAAAAAAAAAAAAAAAAAAAAAAAAAGGTGGGAGTATTTCATTTTAAGCAATTTAAAATAAAAATATTGTGGAAGAAGCACACCTGGAGTTTTATGCATGTTACTTTTGAAAAGCATCCAAATATGTCATGCTTAAATCATGCTCATCTGAGGCGGTTAGTTTTATCAGGGCGCTAACGGTAGTGGGATATCTCCCTTTTTCTTGCATGGCTCAGCATAGTTCTCCAGTTAAGAGGGGAGGAGTGATGAAAACATAACAGTTGTCTAAATCGATGTGTGGGTTTTAAATTTTTATAAAGTTTAATTTATATTGAGGGTACTTGTGTAGGACTTATTTCCTAGTTTTCCTTGCTCACGTGAGCTCTAAACACTCCCCCCCCCCAGCTTTTGTGTGCAATCTTTTATTTCTGTCGCCATATTCCCTTCTTCTATCACTTGGACTCGCATCGTATGTCAAGCAAATCTACTGAAAGGGGGTTTTCTCAGATTTTTGCAGGGAATCGAGCCTGAGAAATCTCTAAATTGGACTATGGTGAAGCACAAAGCAGGGAGCTACTTATTCACCACAGCAACAGACACTTTACTGCCTACTTGCCAGCATTACAAGGTGTGACTACAACCAATTTCTCAATATACAGATGACGTGCTGCATATGTAGCATTCTTTTAAATTAATATCTATGCATTTGGAATCGAGAATGGTTTTTAAAAAAATCAGTTTGGTTTTTCTTTCTGTACATGGCTTTTTTTTTCCTTCTTTTTTTTTTTTTAAATAACCTTAACAAGAAACGAACAAAACCCCGACATTTCCGTGTAGTTATTCTATTGTGACAAAGCGGCACTCCCAAAGTTGCACATCTTTGGAGTGATTTGGTGCCTGCCCTGTGGATGAGCTTTAAATAGCAGCTTTGTAATGGGCTAAAGCAACACTATCTGGTGCTGTGTCCTACACTCTTTCTCCTGCAGGGAGCGCTGTTAAACCAGCAAAACAGCTACTGTAACATTATCAGCTAATCAACAGCAGGGACACCTCACTTCACCATTAATTGTTTTTAATTTTTTTTGTACAAAAGACCCTGTTTGTTGTCAGTCTTCTCAAACACTTAGTTCTGTAAAACTTAACGTGCTAATACTGTTCTCGTCAGCTTGAGTTTTCTGCAGCTTAATACTTACAGCATACAAAACGCTTACCACAGTACTTTGGTTGACTTGTGTAAACCAGATGCCGCCATGTAAGATGGATGGTGCCTTTTTTTCCCCCCCGTCTTTTCTTTCTTTTCTTTTTTTTTTTTTCTTTTTAAAATTAACATCTTTTGATAGAAAGTTAAACTGGGACATAACAGGCTTGTACTTTGTTAACGGCCATTTGTAAAAACATTTTTAAACGTCTTAAATGAGGAGGCCTCCAAACACACTTTGTTTTGTAGAGACACAGGACTCTCGGTCGTGGTGTAAATATGCTCCCCTCCTGTTCGCTCTTTCATATGTATGCCTTTCTGATCGAATGAATGACTTTATTTTGTTTCTCTGAAATTTTACAATGTCCTTTTTAGTGGTATTTTGCAATGTCACAGTGGCTTGTTTCAGTGCTTCATTCAATGTATTAACCGGTATCCTTTTTGCAATTAAAAACGATTGTATTTCACCTTTCTGGTTGAGTTTTTTTTTTTTTACTACTGTAACAGCAGAAAACTAATAGGAAATATGAAAAGGTGTGTGTGTGTGTGTGTGTGTGTGTGTGTGTGTGTGTGTGTGTGTGTGTGTTGGGAGACATAAAAATAAAGGACTAATGTAAAAATAGTAATTGTTCTCATTGTGGATCCCTCTCCATAAGCATTTTCATCACCATGGGAACAAGAAATGCCTTTCTCATTGTCAGCTGTGCCCTAATATATCAAACAGCTGATCAACTGCCAGTAGTGTCAGGCTGGCAAGTTAGTATATGTGTTGTAGTCATCAAGATTTTTCAGAATTCGTGAGCTGGACAGAGTCAAATATTTGTGGAGAAAGAACCGGCCACTTCATTAGTTACACCTTCCTAGCGCTGGCTTCAATGCTCCTTTTGCCTTCAGAGCTGCCCTTTGTTCTCCATGGTACCGATCCAACAAGTTGGTCATCAGATTTTGTTCCATATTGACCATAGCTGCAGATTTGCAGCTTCATGTCTATGATGTGCATCTCCCGTTCTTCCACATCTCAAAGGTTTGGCGTGTTATCCTGTGGAAAGAAACCATCAGAAAATGGGCAAACTGTGATCATAAAGGGATGAACATGGTTAGCAACAGTACTTGGGTAGATTGTGGCAATTAAACAATACTTAAGAGTTCGTCAAGAAAATATCCTCCACACTGATGCTACAAGCTTGAACCATTGACACAAGGCTACGTTTTTATGCTTATGCCAAATTCTGATCCCACCATCCAAGTGCAAAGACTCATTAGACCAGGCAACATTTTCCAGTCTGTTGTCCAGTTTTGGTGAGCCTGTGCAAATTTTGTTGTAGTTTCAGTTCTTAAGAGTGTTGCCCGTGTGGTCTTTTGCTGCTGTAGACCATCTGATGCTTTTGGTGTGTTCAGAGATGCTCTTCTGAATACATCCTGGGTGGAACCAGTAGTTACCAGAGTTATTTTTACCTTCCAGTCAGCTCAAAGCAGTCTGGTTTCTGGCATCAACAAGGTATTGTCGCCTAGAGAACTGCTGCTCACTGGATATTTTTGCTTTATGATTATTATCTGTAAACCGTAGAGACGGTTATGAAGGATAATCCCAGTAGATCAGTTTCTGAAATGCTCAGAACAGCCTGTCTGGTATCAACAACTGAGCCACCTTCAAAGTCACTTAAATGACCCTTTTTCCTTAATTCTGATGCTTGGTGTGAACTTCAGGAGGTTATCTTGACTGTGTGCTCTGAGGAACTGCTATGTGATTGGCTGATTCAACATTTTCTTTAAGGAGCAATTGAACAGATGTGCCTAAGAAAATGGGCCAGGGAGTGCATGTCAGGTTTTAATAACTCTGAAATACTGGCCATAAATAAACAGTCTGGATTTATGCAAAAGTGACTGCTTCAGATTTTCACAGTTGGTACAAACATATCCCCATAATTGTCACTGTCATCAAGCGCCGTTTGTGCATTCATTATACTTGCAACAACACCCACTCACCCTTACGCCTATCTAAACTATGGAATTTAATGATAGTGCTGTACAATAATTGCTTAGTCACATAAGTGCATTTAATTTTTAATCCACACTATAAAACTATATTAAATATTAAAGGTTTTTAATGTAAAGCCATTATACCAGCTTCTGTCTGGATCATGACTACAGAATTTTTTTGTGCTGTGCTGGAGAACGTGGCCGCCTCCCAGCATCAAAGACTCTACAGTGGCGCTCTCTTCTGTAAGACTCAAGAATGGCACTACAAACACTGATTTTTAACAAAACCTGCGAGATGCTGGCTGTCGTTTGTTGCCATATGAATCTCCTGCCATCTGCTGGCTGTTGTTTGTCCTCTAATTTGGCATTTTGCTCTAATGAAGTTAAAGGTTCATTCAAGAGGCACCCCACAAAAATAAACATTTGAATTCCACTCTGACTTTTAAATGGGCATGTTTCAGAACGAGGAGGAAGATCAACAGAAACGTATCATTTACACTATCTCACCTTTTAAAACGACTGTAAATGTTTGACAGGTTCTTTTTTCCTTAAAAAGAATGTTAAAAATGTAAAACCCGCAGAAAAGATTTTTGTGTAATGACTCTAAAACTTGCCAAAGAAGTGAAACTGTGTAATGTCACAAGATCCATCGGGGTTGTTCATTGTTCAGATCAGACTAAACAAGAAATCCTCTATTGTAAGCAGCTTCCTTAGTAAAGAAATTCAAATGTAGATATGTGCCTGGTTTGCGAAAAGGATGACTATTTATGGCATGTACTGTGGGGGTGGGGCTGATGGTGAGTGCTTTTGTAAAGACACAAAAATCTGCTCTTATAGTTTAAGCAGCTGTGATACTCTTCAGACTTCACAATATTACATTACTGGAAGCTGTAAAACACTGAAATATCTTCTGGAGCCACAGCAGTAGGCTTGTAAATGTAAAGTTTAAAGTAAAAAGAGCCATTCTCAAGAGAACATGATTGCACTCGGCAAAAATTCAAAAAAACCTTTGCGCCACGTTTGTACTTTTATTACGGTTTTGAGATCGTTTCAGGAGGTCAGAGTCATCCTGAGAGGACTGTGACTATAGACCAAAGTTTGTATGGAGCCCCGGTTTTGTTTGTTGATACTTTGAAGTGATCAAATCTACAACAGAATGGCTAAAAAAAAAAAAAAAAGAAAAGAAGCCCAGAAAAGAGTTGAGGCCACAGCAGACTGAGATGCTGCAGCAGGACCTTAAGAGTGATGTCCTGCAATGTTGTGAAGAGCCAGAATTCCTTCACAGTGACGTTAGAGACTGATAGTCATACAGAAAATAATACATTACTAATCCCTTCCATCATTCCCTTTGTTACACAGACTTAATTAAAATATAAAATGGGGGGGGGGGAAAGTGTCTAAATAAATGCTCCAAAGTTGAACAACACACAATACCCATATATTTTCTCTTTCAATATATACAAGATACTGAAAGTAAAACTAGTGCAGCTACCTTAGAGGGGGAGCTGTATAACAGGTAGGAATGATTTCCTGTAAGCTTCTATAGTGCATTGCAATAGAGTGAGTTGTTTGCAGAATGTGCTCCTGTGACCGTCCAGCACGTCACGGAGAGGGTGTGACGGTTTGTCCATCTTAGTTTGTAATTGGCATAACATCATCCTCTGTGACACCACAAAGGACACGTCATTTAGTAAAGCTCCACATCCATCCCTGCTTGAGGTGGTTCTACAAGCTGCTGAGTCATCGGGTGTACTTCAGTTTTCACAGAACCTGTGAAAACGTTCCAGAAATGATTATTTCTCACTGGCTTTA